CGCCTAACTTAACCGCTCGTATGGAATCTACCAATACGGAACAGCAAGCTGATTGCCCAATTCGGAGTTCCTATGCAATGATTTAGAATCGAACTGAATGACTGCTAGGCTGACTGGATTATTAGGACGTGGGGTGTTTGTTGCTAAGCGGTTAGAGCGTCGGCTTCCCGTAAATGCCTTCTTGATGTACACTTATTCATCACGTTAACCAGATGTTTGCCTTTCGCGTGAGATTGCATACACCTCATATACCTCAGTGGCCCTAACCATTATGGTTCCCGAAATCTCTGAACACAATACTGTTTGTTCCACCTTCTCGTACATTGTCGAATGTAACATAATTTCAGTTAAGAAGTATTGTACTCCGGCGGAGATTATTGATCCAACGAGGTCTACGAAATGCATAGGACAGCAGTCAAGACAGAAAAAAATGAAACTATATCGTTCTGATAGGTCGTCCAATCCAAAGATGTTGATGAACACTTCTGTATATTAAAAAGTGTCTTAACTTTTTCAAAGATTTCGATGAGGCAACAAACCAAAGTCCTGCACAAGAAAACGAACATACCGCGATATTGGCTTGTTAATCTTAAGGACAGGGTTGCCTGTTTGAATAAAAAATGAGTTGCGTATAGGAATCGTTGTGGCGGTTCAATGTAGTTTATTGTGGACAAACAGGGGATTCAGCCTCTAATCGCTTATAAGAACACAACCGAGCAGCTTGGAAGCGATACAACCTGTCCCAAGTCATCACGCTCATATTAAAAACTGAACACCAGTTTGCATGGGACCAAACCTACATTGTTGGTTTTTACCCATCTGGGCAAGGCTCTGCTTTTTAGAGACCATCAACTCCGATACCTAGTGCACGCCGAAATTGAAACTAGAATCAGGGAAGTATGACAAGGACGGCAGCCTATTTGGACTAGATGAAGCAAACAACTGTCACCACTGGCAGCATGAGTGAATGCGGGTGACTAGTGCTTCCTTACTTACCGCATAATTTCGTGCGAGCCGTAAGACTACTAACCCCCACCACTCAAGTTCATTTTGTCTGAAGACGGGCCGCTGCTTGTTTCTTAAAAAATGACAAGTTTATCGTGTTTTTCGGATGAGGTCTTCTTCTGCGTCATATTATCTCCGAATGCAGTCTATTTCATATATTCAACTTAAATGGGACGATTGTAGAAATCTTACAGACACAAGCGGCAAAATGCAAGTGGCTGGCCTTTCTTCACCGCTGACGCGATAATGGCATCCTCCCGAAGTCTCTTCATGTTAAGCCCACTCTGCCAGGTGACGCGGGAATGGATCCTGCACGCAAATTCGCATTTCGTGTATTGAGCCAGATCATATTAAACGACCATCTTCGTCTTTCCAGATTCGCAACAACAAGATCCAACCATCACAACAGGGACACTTCGGCAATTCCTGCAAACCTATTCGAAAGAGTAAATCAACGGATTAACGCCACCGCAACAGATTACAGAATGAAAAAGCGAACCAAGTTAAAAGTCATGTTAACGCGAATTAAACGTCAAAAACACTTGGCAACCTTTCGAAATTGATTCTTAACAGCACTGCAGCTAGCTAACTATTTCAAGGCACAACATTAAAATACACCAATACTACACCCACAAAGATTCTCGTGACCCTAACATTTGTCTTACTGACCTCTCCTGTGCTACTGGTCTGCTTCTACCAAAGAAATATCCGTATGTCCTACCCATTTACGCAGAAAAGAGCATCACTGGCTCTTAAGTCCGATGACAGCATTACAATAATCGCTGCTGAAAAAGGCGGTGTAACTGTTATCCTGGAAAGGACGGATTACGTATAAGGCGAACCAAATGTTCGAAGATATGGAAGCCTATACACCACTTGCAGCGGATCCGATCAAAATGCAGAAAGCAGCTGTGATGAAAAAAGTTAATGAGCGCACTCGATGAAAACGCATGCCACCCACTGACTCCAGATAAAAGACTCTCAATGACCACCGCATCGCGCATAATAATAACAAAAATGTTTGTTGGTAAGGCACCTCTTGGGCACCTCTTGGGCATGTTTATGGTCTTCCAAAAGTGCCCAAAGCTAATGCACCATTACAGATTATAGTACCCCTAATTGGATCACCCGCCTAACACTTAGCTTAATGGTTATGCAGGCGCCATAAGAACCTCACTGATGGATTACACTGTAGCCATTTTCTCCAATCCTCATAATCGCAATGTGACTACATACGCGAGC